ACCATCTTAAAGCCTGCCCTTGAATACCTGTATAGTTTTGTAATCGATCTATGAGTATGTCATGATCTATAGTATCAAACTATATGTATGTATGTGTGTGTGTGTATATTTGACTCTTATTTCATTGTGTAGTATACATTTATAGTATATAGCAGGGGTTTTCAACCTGTGGGGCACATTAAATCTGGTAAACTGGTTATATATTTATGTTTCAGTATAATTACGCACGCTATACCAGGGGCGGTTCTAAACCCTTTTTAGGTGGGTTTCAGCCCCCCCTATCTGTCACCTTAGCCCCCCAAAACTATCTTAACTATCCAGTGCTGCTTCCTCTAAAGTTTTTCAATAAAAATTGTTCGCTGCTTTAATAGCTTTAATGGATATTTGCGATACATGACGATTATAATTAAATTAACTATACATACACAATATATATTGAAAAACATTAAAAATATGACAAATATATTTATTTACATATGTACTATATACTATAAATGTATACATCATAATAAAATAAATGTATACATCATAATAAAATAATCAAATATACTATATATATATATATATATACACACACACACACACACATACATACATACATAGATACATACATACATACGTAGAAATGAATTAGAGTGGACACACTATAAACATATACTACACAATGGAATAACTTTTCTACATATAGTTTTAAATATTGTAATTTCTATATTTTTAATCACATACTATACAGTGCACAAATGAAAAGTAGACAAGTAGACAAAGAGAATCCAATCAAACAAAGGAGACAAAATATATATACTTTGTCATTTATTTATTGAGACAAATGATCCGGTGTAAATCCATTTCCTGAGCTGGCTAAAGTACAACTATTTTTGTGAATTAAATGAGTGATGCTTATGCATGCAAAACTTCCTGCCCCAATGGGTGGTTGCTGAGGTGTTACGAGGGGTTTAGAGCAGAGGTTTTCAAACTTTCTGATGCTACTGACCCCCAAAATATTATGATCCCCAGATACTGTATATGTTTTCAAGTATAGGAAGAAATATTTATACTTCAAAAAAAGGCAAAATATTTGCAAAATATCATCAGGAAAATAAAATTTATTTTAATTTTTTGCCCACCATTATTGAGATCCAGAAATCTGAAGAGCAACATTAAAATCAATCAATCCTTTGCAAGGAAGCCCCTTCCTAAACTATAGAGTCAGATATACAGTTCTGCTTGAAAGTTTGTGAACCCTTTAGAATTTTCTATATTTCTGCAAAAATATGACCTAAAACATCATGAGATTTCCACACAAGTCCTGAAAGTAGACAAAGAGACCCAATCCAAAAAATGAGACAAAAATATATACTTTGTCATTTATTAATTGAGAAAAATGTTCCAGTGTTACATATCTGTCAGTGGAAAAGTATG